ACCATAACAATCTTTGGAACCTGAAATGGAATATGCATCTCCATTTAGGAATACTAAAATTATACTAAAGTAAGGTACTATTTTCCCTACTGTTAAGACCAGCAGTTATACTGTTTCACCTCATGAGACATACTTAAATTCTAACTCTCTCCCTTTTATAGATAGCATATGACATAAGAAGCTTTCAAAATTAGAAGTACCATTTCCATTTAACTAAAATACAGAATATATTTAAAACACATATGCATATATATGCATACCTATGTCTATATAAAAATATATAGCCAAAAATATACTTTTCTAATTATTTTTTTTATTTTGAGATAACAGATTTACATGTATGTGTAAGAAATAATACAGAGAGATCCTAAGTACTCATAACCCACATTTTCCCAATTGTAATATCTTGCATAACCCGTAAATATCACACCAGGGCACTGGCACTGATGCAATCCAATGCTCTTATTCAGATGTCCCAACTTAGCTTATACTCACTTGTATATATATGTGTGTCTACTCTATGCAGTTTTATCACATAGGTAGTTCTGTGTATCCATTCATAGCCAATATACATACTGTGTTCCCATTCATAGCCAATATACAAGGGGCCCCATTCTCCACTTCCTTTCCTAAACCCAGTGAGCCACTAATATCACCTATTTCTAAAATCCTATATCTCTAAAACACAAGTAACAATGTAAACAAATGTTACCTCAACCAGAAGGGATGAAAGAATGGAGGGAAGGAGCAAGAAAGGACCTTACAGAAATGAAATCATACAACATAAAACTTTTGGAACTTACTTTTTTTTTCACTTAGCATGATGTCTTAGAGAATCAAGTTGTTAAACATCTCAATAGTTCATTCCTTTTTACTGTTGTTTTATTAACTAAAGTCAAGAGTTTACATTAGGAGCCACTTCTTATGTTGCAAATCCTGTGGTTCTGACAAATGTGTGCCATGAATTCATTCACCATTACAGTATCACATAGTTTCACTGTCCCCAAATCCCTTGTGATGCACCCATTCATTCCTCTACCCATCACTCCCTCAACCACTCATCTTTTTACCATACCTACAGTTTGGCTTTTTCCAGAGTGTCATATAGTTGAAATATAACTGTGTAGTTTTAGTTAATACTGGCCTTTATACCTAACAATATACATTTAAGCTTACTTCATGTTTTTTGAGGCTTAATAGCTCATTTCTTTTTATTGTCAAAGTAATATACTTATTTGTCATTTATATATCTTCTGTGGTTAAGTATCTTTTGTTTGATTCTTAATTGGATTTTTTTCTATCTTACTGTTTTAAGAGTTGTTTGTATATTTCAGATTTAAGTCCAAAAGTGTTTGGTAAATATTTTCTCCCAGCCTCTGGCTTATCTTTTTATTCTTTTAACAGAATCATTCAAGAGCAGAAGTTTTTAATTTTAATGAAGTTCAGTTTTTCTATTTTTTTCTTTCATGGATCACACTTTTGGTGTTATGTCTAAAAACTCATTGCCAACAACTATAGCAACATTTGCAAAAAGCAATCAAATTTAATCTGGTGTCTTGACATCATACACACACAGTCCAAAGACAATCTATAGGCAAATGTTTCAGTAATAGTAGAGAGGTGGGACTCATGAAAATGTAAAAGAAAAAGAAACAGAAAAGGCAGAGTGAGTGCATGTGAGAAGAGCACCCAACTCAGCAGGGGACTTAGGGGGAGCTGTCACTCAGTGATGAGGAAACCACTACTGAGGGCTATTACTGAATAATGCCAAAATGACTTTGAATCTGACCTCACATGGTTAGCCTAAGGGAAAAAAATGTGGAAGAGATCAAATATTGCCATTGTCCCTCAAATGGATGAAAGAAAGAGGCAACCAAGACCAACAGACATTTTGCCTACTATTTTTGGATGGTATTCACTGTTTGGGGCATTCCAGTTTACAACAAAGAAACTAGTCAACCAGACAGATAAGCTTTCAAAGTTAAAACTTGCTTCTGTTCAAGTGTGTGCAACCAGATTAACAGTATATACTCTTGATTCAACCCACGTACAAAAAAAGTTACATGCCATTATAAAGAATTTCTTTATTATCTCAGTAAAAGGTAATCCTCTCAAACCCTCAGAAAAGCAGCAGATTTCATATCAGTCAAATCTTATTATCTCCATACCAAGAGACTATATAGTCCTTGAGTTGTTCTGGAATTTTAAGGTTTTAATATATTTGAATGAAATAGGGTATGCTCCAGGGATATGGGAGTCTTCTTTTTTTAGTGACATTTCTATTGTCATAACACTAGTTATTATGTAATTACAGTTCAAATTGTAAATATCAGAACATCTTTCAGTTTGCTTGTACGTACTTGTGTTTGTGTGATGTGGGGTTGGTTCACTGAAAACATCTGTTTTGTAACTGAGGTCACTTCTGATTTGAATTAGTGAACTCATTCTCCAACAAGTGGTCAAAGCTACTAAAGAAAGAGCAATAGTTTAAGATAGAAAGCTAGCAATATGTCTAGAGGCAATCTGACCAATATCGAGAACCACTACTAAATGCTAGGCGGTGAGGAAATGCAGAGCCAGAGAATTAAGACAATGTCCTTGCTCTCAGGAGACAGAAAATTAAGACACTGTCCTTGCTCTCAGGAGGCTCTTTTCTAAGAGGAACGACAGAAAATATCCAACTGACTTCTTATTTTTTTGTGACAGGGAGAAGAATATCTTGATAAGGCCTATGCTGTGATGTTACCAATCTTTAAACAACAGACATTGGAGGCTGGAAAGTTGTTAAATATTATGTAGCTATTGCCCATATTTTATATACAATAAGAAACCCAGAAAACTAAAAGAATTTGTCTAAGATAGTAGAGATGGGACTCAAACCCCAAAGTCCTAACTTAAAAACTAATACTCTTTATATCACAGTACTTCTCTTAGAGTTCAAAGGACTTTCCTTTTTCCTAGTTCTCCCCAGTTAGGCTACACCTAATTATGTCATTTAGATCCAGATTCATAGAGTTCATTCTGTTTTTCTTTTACACTCCCATCTTCAAAAAGACTACTTCATACCTTTGATTTAACAGATAATTTTTTTTTGATTGACTGTGGATATATTTTATTTTTGTAGGCAAGAGTGCAGCAAAGGCACCTTCAGGTTTTAAGCTTTAAGCTGAGCTCTTAGTGGTGAGGTGACTCTCCTCCTAAACAGGGCTGGGGGATCTTAATTTCTAAGATGATATCTGGGGTGTAGTCATCGTACTGGAGATTCCTATAGGTGCTTTCAACATAGTTTATTTTTTTTTTCCCATAGATTAAGGTCTCACTTGGGCCTAGAGAAACTAAAAACACAAATAAGGCATACTTCCTACAGCAGAGAAATTTGTGAAGCTATTTTCCACCACCCAATAAAGTATTTTAATGGAAGTCACCTTTTTAGGTCAATGACTACCTAATTCTCTAGACCGCATGGTAAAATCTTAAAGCAATTTTTGCAATTCTGGCATGAAAGTGAGAGTGTCTGTTTTTTAATCCTTGCTCTATCACTAACCAATTAGTTTTGAAACCCTGGGCAAGTCATATGTCGCTGTGTTTAACCTTCATAACAAGTAAAAACGAAAGCGCCAGCCTTCTGTGACTGGCATTCTTTTCAAGTCCAGTCAAATCCAAGGTGCTTTCCTTTTTTTCTTTTTCATCATGTACATCACAGCCAAGCCCTTCACTTCTGGATTGTTGCTAAGCAGGCTTTAAGTTCTTTGGTGGTAGATGTGACTTGTTAAAAGCAATTCTAAGCAAGACCTAGCCTAGAGGTATATTGGTTAGACTGGAGGCTAGAAAATTAATTTAGAATCCTATCACAATTAAGATCTATCTTATACCAAAAGTCTGTTGCCAAAGTCTCTCCAAAGCTGGCCTCACTTGATTCCTTATGTTACTTCATGTGACACTTCAACACACAGTCATTTAGACAACACCTTCATATCTTCAATGTTGCTGTTCTCATCCTCCCTTTGAGGAAAGTTTTACCTTTTTGTAAACTTAATTCCAGTACTCTCTTTAAGGCTAATTTCTTCTATGGAGTTAGTAATTTTTTCTTTTTCTTATTCCTTATGCAAATAATTAGAGTACCAACAAAACCCCCTGCTGTAACTTCCTCCAGTGACGAATATAAGCAGGAAAGAGATATGGAAAACCCTCAATAAACACAAACATATAAAGGTGGTATAAGAATATAATTCACTTTATTACTTCTTCTTATACATTTTGCAAATCAAAATAAGCAGCAGGTTGCTGATGCTTTTTTTGATAGAAAATTAACATGTACCTTAAAATTGTTTTAGAATATTTAATAATATTAAAAAATGTTTTCTTGTCTCTTGCAACTTATATATGAAGATGTCTGGACAAAAGAATATGAGCTGTTACCACTTAATATATGTTTAATTTAGGGAGATATTTAAACAAGCAGCAAGTAATGTTATTTAAATGCTGACAGGGTAACTTATTCCATTCATAGATAAGTGCTGAAGTCTCTATATTTCAATAATGAAACAATCAGTACCAATCTAACCAAATGACAGTCAAAGTTAGTCTTAAGCCAGCAGAGAAGCATTTGGGGAAAACTGAAGTTTTACTTTCTTTCAGATTCTCTTATTGCTGCTTGAACCCTAATTTGAATACCTTCTTCAGAGAAAGGCCACAATTAGAGGAGTTTTATGTGGCAAGAGTAAAGTAGTACTGTCATATCCCATCAATCCTTTCAGCAGCCACTTTCCAACTCCAAAAGAAATTTTCTCAAGAAGTAAGTTTCCAGCAATTTTAGTTCCCATCACTGCTGTCTATGTGTCACAACTGAAAAAAAAAATCCATTACATTATAAAAAGATTCTGTTATCCAGTATTTGCTAATTACGATTGAGACCAGACACATACTAAGTTTCAAAGAAAACAATTGAAGGGAACATCTGAGAGTAATTTTCCCCCATTCTTTGTTGTTCAGCTACTCACGGCAAATCTTCCAAACTGGAGGCTTCATGTCTTGGATCCAATAGATCATAACCGCATTCATTGTAGATTTCCAAATAGGAAATGTGCGTTGTATATATTTTGCTGCTGTCCTGATTGGAAAAGGGAAAGACGTTATTTAATGACTATAAATAACAACTTAACGTAGAAAAAGATGAACACATTTATCACTAGTTCCTTCACAGCTTCTCTCCTTTTCTCACTTTGTATGGTTTACATTTTTAGTTCGTGACACTTTCAAGTTGCCAGTTACCATATGCATGAAGGCTTTTTTTAAATGGCCAACACCCATGATTACAAGCAACTTCAGTCTGTTATTTTTTATTGGTTCCACGTTATACATAAAAAGTCAATATACATTTAAAATGAGCCAACTTGGTTATAGAATGGCATAGTGAACCATTTTCTACTTTCCAGACCAAGAAAAAAAAAGGTCACTAAGAAAAAATAAACTTACATTCTGTGAATAGGTCTATTCATAAAAGAACACAAAATTGTTGGTTCGGTTTAAACCTTCAATAGCAAAAGAGTTTCCATCTTTAACTATAACTCCTTTTTACTTTCTAATATTAAAATTTTTCTGATGACATAAATAGGTAATGGAAAGTAAATTCCAAACAGAAATAGTCTGACCAATCAGGTAGCAGGAAGAATGAACATTAATGGTGCATTGCCTAATTGGGCTAATTTGCCTGGCCCAAGTGGCAAATCAAGGATATTTTGGTATTGATTAGGAAGAAGTATTTTCTGTGGTTTATTGATAAAATTCAGTAACACAGGAATCACTGTAATTAGGATAAAAGTCAAGGTAACTGATCCACGTCTCAGTTCTGACAACAGACAAAAAAGGCCCCACTCCCTTTGAGATAAGTAAAATAGGGAACTTTTTCAGCTCTTGGGAAAATTTTGTGTTCAGTTTCTAATACAAAATATCAAATAAGAGCATCTTCTTATTCCCTTCCAAATACAAATGCTTCCATTTCTGCCAATATGATTCTGCTTTTCATAACATGAGAAAATATTTGTGTCTTATGTCAAGGACATTGTCAGAGTGGATACTAACAGAGAAGATTTGCTTAGCATGGCTTTTTTTTTTTAAGATTTATTTATTCATTTATACAAGCACTGGGTACAGTGAGAAGCATGGAAGTGTGAGAGGATTCACCAGAGCCAGAGCGGGGAACAGAACAGGCAGACTGACAAAGTACACTGCTGAGGGGAGCAGCAGGTGCGGCAGGAGAGGTCTGTCACTCCATGTAGGACCCTCGCCCACGGCCAGGGATAGAACCAGTGCTGCAGAGGCTGTGGGCAGCTTTGCAGCCCAGTGCTTAACCACCGGGGAGGCCCTTAGCATGATTTTTTTGATTGATTCTCACCTGTATCCAAAACAGTCTATTTAACGGTATTATCCAAAGGGGAAGAGGACCAAGTCATAGTGCTAGGGGGGAGAACAAATCCAAAGCTGGCATCCTAGCCCTACAAGCTATGAGTCCCTACCATGCAAGGTATCATTTTTCATACTCATTAAGGTAAAGATGTCACATGATGTATCCATACATGTACTTCAGATTAAAATTAATAGTTTTCTCTGGTCCTCAAAAGGCTCAAAGAGAGATATTACCATTTCATAAAACAAAATGATACATGAAAGGTTAAGGTAACTGGCAGTCAGCACATATCTATAGTAAAACACTCCAGATGCAGCTGAAACTCCACATTCTGTTCTTCTGTGATGGTGACAGCCTGGGCCGAATCTCTAAGAGAGTTTCTCCCAAGAAATGCTGGAAACCCTGCTGATGTGGGTGACTGGCTGCTCTGGCAAACTGACAAATCACCTATCAATTACATTCATTTCCTGGTTTAGCAAAAGCACTATTTCAAAATTATTCTTCAGGCTATAACTTGGCTTAGTACAGGTATCAGAGATTATAAACATTGGAGACACTGTGTCTTTCCATCTAATACAGTGTTTCCTAAAGCATTCCATGAAATACTCATGGACAAGGTGTTCTGTAGTCAACACATACACTGCTCCTCTCTGTAAGGTTCTCAGAACATGCTAATGGCCACCAGAAATCATTCAGCAACACCCTGAGATGCTGTTTAAAACAACATGTTTCTAAAACTTACTTGAACATACCTAGAAATCCCATAGACCATGGTTTCATATTTTAGCATACAGTTGTGAGCTCATCTTAGCATCACACAAAACTAATTTCAAATATGGATCTAATCATTTGTAACAGAATCTTGTACCCTCTCAGTTGTTTAATTGAAAAAATGGTGATAATAGGGGCCTCCCTGGTGGCGAAATGGGTTAAGCACTATACTAATGAAGCAATCCACAGCCTCTGCCAGCACGAGTTTGATCCTTAGCCTGCCAGGGAGCAACCCACATGGTGAGGCAGACCTCTCCTGTTCGCCTGCTGCTCGCTTCAGTAGTGTATTTCAGTCGGTCTGCCTGTTCTGTTTCCCACTCTGTCTCTGGTGGATCCTCTCATCGCCCTCTCCACACACCTCTGGCCTGTACCCCAGCTCTTGTATGCATAAATAAATTAATCTTTAAAAAAAAAAAAAAGAAAAAAGAAAGAAAAAATGGCGATAATGACCTTATCTTGTTGAATTGTTGTGACAGAGAAATGGGGTTTTGTATTTAAAATCCTACCAAAAATGTGTGGGCCATAACAGGCACCAAGAAAGGGTTACTGATTTTATTGTTATTGCTGCTGTTTTTATGATTTTCTAAAAGCCTTCGAAGGGAGAATTCAGTGTGTCAAGATAAGAGAGAAAAAGAAAGGCAAAAAGAAAAACCACCTTGTATGTTTGCTTGTAGTTGAAAAAACTCTGCTTTCAGAAATTAGGAGAATCATTAAAAGTCAGGAAATCAACAGGTCCTCTGCCCTGAGATAAGGATAATGCCTTTGGCTCCTCCAGCGTCTGTATTTTCTGGACTTTTACTGGAATACACTTAAAATTCACTGAGCTATATGGCAAGCTACCTTTCCTTATAAGTCCTTTTTTAGTGTTTAGGATTGCCAGGCTGTAATGTAACACACATGTTTCCTGCAGACAGCTTTCCCTCCTGCCTCCAAAAAAGTCGGAACCTCACAATACTCAAAAACAACAAGCAGAGATTTCAAAATAAATGGAATCACTTTTCTTCCTTTGCAATCATTGAAAATATATTCCTATCATGCTCACAGACATCAAAGACCCAGGATGCACTGGGCATTTAGTTTATCTTGAAATAAACACTTAGCATAAGTCAGGCGTTTCCTAAAAGAATTCCAGAGAGCTCGATGTGACTCTAAAGCTATCAGCTTGGGGCATCTGAGTACCTGTCTGCATTTTTTAGCTATGTAATGTGGACAAACTGCAAGTTGCCTCTGACTTGTTTGGCCACAATTCAGTTTGATTATAACGAATGTGTCTGTGTCATCTTGGAAATCTGTCTGTCTATAAAGAGTTGTACTGCTATATATTGGTCTGAAGGGTTTGCTCTAACTACAGAAAGTTATTTAGAATTGTTTAGAATAAAATGAGGTTTAGAGTAATGTCAATGACAAACATGAAACAATGAAACCAGAAGAGAGTCGGTGTATGGAAGACATTTAGATTTTTAGAACTGTATTTTGGTAAGAGGAAATTTAAAAAGAGACAAATATATATTCTATATATGAAATATATTATATATATATTTTTTCTGTTTAACTTAATGAGGGGAATTGGCTTCATTTGTTCTGAGTTTCAAAGGATTCTCTGAAATTGGTCAGGGATCATTTTGAGATTGTATATATATATGTGTGTGTGTATATATATATATGTATATATATATTCACATTTACACACATACACATGTGGTTTTTGTAAAAACTATCATGTATGGAGCATCTACTATGTGCCAAGAACTGGACAATAGCTTTAAACACAGTTTTCCAGTCTCCACAATAACTCCATAGGACTGAGACATTAAGTAACTGCCCCAGGGTCACATGCTGTAAGTAGTACACTTTCTTTGAACCAGGTCAGCCTCCACCACTTTCAATGATATTTGTAAGACGACAGAATTCACATAAGGCCATTTCAAGAAGAACAATTAGAAATTATATTCCCAGCTTTTGAAATTTGGAAGCAAAATAAAACAGCTAATGTCAGAAATAAAAGAGTAAATGAAAAGAAGAGATTTGGATCCTATATATATATATATATATATATATATATATACTATACTCAGCTTTTACTCTTCCAAATTTTCTGGCATACAGACTTGGCATGTCTGAGCTAGTGAGAGATGAGCTGAACTAATGGGTAATTGCTACTTTATGGATGGAAATTAGAATTATGCAGATCTCAGCTATTTCTTCTCATCTTTGCAATTCAAAATGCAAACAGCATACAGCCGAGAAATTTTGGTATGACTGTTACACTGACCTAGTTAGGGCAATTGTTATACAGAATTAATACAATTAAGGAATTGCTGGTACTAGTAAGGATATTGGAAATCATCTAGTACAATGCAATGCCTACTTCCATAAAGGAGAGACGTGAAACCCAGAGAAACTATCTGACTCATTGCAGAGAATTTGCTTAAATACAACCAAAAAAATAAAGTCAGTCTGAGATAAAGAGGTAGTATATAATAAGGACAATATTTGACATCACATAGACCTGTAAGGAACCTCCAAATCATCTACTTACAAGGGCCCGAATAAGATATTTGAGGTTCAGTTTTCACACCTATAAAAAGATGATAAGCATCCCTCCCTACCTTGCTATTTGTATTATATGTTGTATTAAATGCTGGCAAAACAACAGACACTTGGAATTACACAATAAATTATGTTTATAATACAAACAAGGGATTCCTCTTCATAGCAGTATTAATTACAGCAGGTTTTTTGCTATGGTAAATTCATTTGCACTTCATCAAAACTGCAAAGAGGACACATAGCATCCTAGTCAGTGCTTTAGTAGCAAAAGTGAAACTCTGTTTTGGTGATTTTCCTCAGTTTCTTAATGAGGAATATAAGATATTAGTTGGTAAAATTTGTTATCTGTTCTTTTAATTTTCATTTATATCAGAAGGAATTCCACTTGGGTCATTGCTAAAACAGCATCCATTTAATGAGAAACACCTTGTTAATTTTCTCTTTTTCAGCAAAATCCCAAACTTCCCTTAAATTTAAATGTAAAGGATAGAGTTATTACATAATAAAACTTCCTCATTTAGAAACAATAGAATAAAATATTACCAAAGTTTTTTTCCTGTAGTAAATTTCTGCTGCATATATCAAGTATAGTGAACTTAAAGTTTCATACCTTTTGTAATTGCTCAAAAATGTATGACAGTGTCCTTGGGATAATGCCTCTGTCACTGTAGCGCTCTGCCCCTCCTGTAATGGTGAATGTCTTACCGCTGCCAGTCTGCCCATATGCAAAGATGGTACCATTGTAACCTGCCAGGACACTGCATAAAGAAATGGCACATTTTTAAAATCAAAATGGTTAATTAGATTTGTATCAACTGGCTTATATTCTCATAGCAACCTTATTCAACACTGTTGCAAAGACATTTAGGAAGATCTATATTTCTACGGAAACATCTATAGAAATGTTTATATGCATGAGTATGTAGCTAGAATTTACCTTTTTATCCTCAAGTAGTAGCAAATCAACGCTTCTTTCTAAGAAAGCATTTCAGGAATAAGACAAGATTGTACACTCTCACCACTATTAGTCAATATATTGCTGGAATTCCTAGTAAGAGCAATTAGGCAAGAAAAGCAATCCAAATTGGAATGAAAGAAGTGAAACTATTACTATTTGCAGATGACATGAAAATACACATAGAAAATCCCAAAGACTCCACTAAAAAGTTATTAGAAATAGCAAATGAATACAGAAAAGTAGCAGACTACAAAATTAATACACAAAAATCTGTTGCATTTCCATACACAAAATTAACAATAGCAGAAAAGGAAGTCAGGAAAACAATCCCATTTGCAATTGCATCAAAAAAAAATAAATACCTTGGGATAAATTTAACCAAAGTAGGAAGTATGAGACATTTCGTTAAAAGAAATAGAAGATGCAAATCAGCGGAAAGATATTCTGTACTCATGAACTGGAAGAATTAATATAGTTAAAATGCTTATATTACTTAAAGCAATACAGATTCAATCCAGTTCTGTCACAATCCAAATGACATTCTTAACAGAAATAGAACAAAAAAATTATGAAATGTATTTGGAATCAAAAAAGATATCAAATAGAAATAATAATCCTGAGAACAATGCACAAAAAATGGAGGTATCATGCTCTAGTGACTCCAAGTAGTCACTAGAACAGACTGGTTCTGCAGTAAAAACACACACACAGATCAATGGAGCAGAATCAAGATTCCATGTATATATTGACAACTAATTTATGGGCATATACTAGAGCAAAAAAAGTCCCTTCAATAAATTGTGTTGGGGAAAAGTGGGGAGCCTCCTGTCAAAGAGTGAAACTAGGCATTATCTACTACAATTCACAAAAATTAATTCAAAATGGATGAAAGACTTGAATGTAAGGCCTGAAAATGTAAAATGATATAGAAGAAAACAGGCAATATGCTCATTGACATTAACCTTAAACATGTGTTTAGAGACTTATCTCTAATGGCAAGGGAAACAAAAGCAAAAATAAATAAGTAGGACTACATCAAACTACAAAGTTCTGCATAGTGAAAGAAATTATGATGAAAATGAAAAGATATCCAACTGAATGGGTCTGGATATTGGCACATCATAAGCCCTACAAGGGGTTAATATCCAAAATACACAGAGAAGTCATAAAACTCAACAACAAAAAAAATCAAACAATCCAATTTTAAAACAGGCCAAGTATCTGAATATACTTCTCCAAAGAAGACATACAGATGGCCAACAGGCACATGAGAAAATGTTCATCATCTCTTATTATTAGGGAAATGTAAATCAAAGCATCATTGAGATATCACCTCATACCCATGAGAATGGCTATTATCCAAAAGACAAAAAACAAGTGTTGGAGAAGATATGCAGAGAAGGGAACTCTTTTTTTTTTTTTCAAACTTTTTAAAATTTTATATATTTTTTACATCGTTTTCATTTTGGTACAATGTATGCGTTTTCATCTTGGTTATAGTCCCCGTAAAATTCCCACCACTCTTGCTTTGATCCTATTCTTTTCTCCCCCCATAGTGTGTCTATGATTTATAGTAGCTTGTTGATTTTGATTTTTACTTTATTATAATTAGTCTTTTTCCTGATCCCTTATTTAGGTTTTCTAAATTCCTGCTATGAGTGAGACCATCTGGTATTTTTCTTTTTCTTTCTTGCTTATTTTACTGAGCATGATCCCTTCCAGCTCCATCCATGTTGCTGTGAATGGCATGAGTTTATCTTTTTTGATTACTGAGTAATATTCCATTGTGTATATGTACCACATCTTCTTGATCCAGTCATCTTTTGGGCATTTGGGTTGTTTCCATATCTCAGCTATTGTAAATAATGCTGCTATAAACATAGGGGTGCAGGTGCCCTTTTGAATTAATATTTTTGTGTCCTTTGGGTAAATGCCTAGGAGTGGAATTGTTGGATCATAGAGAAGGGAACTCTTATACACTATTGGTGTAAACTTTATAGATAGCAGTATAGTGATTCCTCAAAAAAATTAAAAATGGAAATGCCATACAATCCAGTTATCACACTTCTGGTTATTAACCTAAAATACAAAAGACTACTAATCTGAAGAGATAGATGGAGAATTATTTATAATAAAGAAATAGTCAGATGGAGAAAGACAAACATGGTACTTTCACTCATATGTATGTATACAGAGAAACCAAACAGGTGAATTAAATAAAAATAAACTTTTAGTAGTTACCAGAAGAGATAGGGGTAGATAATTTATATGAAAAAGAGTCAGTATGAAGAATAGAATTGGACTTTCAGTGGTAATATTAATGTAGTATACATAGATGTTGATTTTTAGTGATATATACCAGAAACGTAGATAATGTTATAATGAAATGTGGCATTGATAAAAAATAAAATATAATGGGAATTTTAAAAAGCCCTGTAACTCAAATAGAATTCTGTCATTTTATTTACTTTTTGAAAATTTTATTAATAAAATTTTTATTTAGAACAGTTTTTTTAAAGATTTATTTAATTTATGCATACAAAATCGGGGTACAGGCCAGAGGTGTGGGGGGTGAGAAGATTCACCAGAGACAGAGTGGGGAACAGAATAGGCAGATTGGCTGAAATACACTGTTGAGGTGAGCAGTGGGTGAGTCAGGAGAGGTCTGCTGCGCCATGTGGGTTGCTCCCTGGCCGGGGATTGAACTCATGCTGCAGAGTCTGCGGTCAGCTTCATAGGTTGCGTCTTAACCCCATGCGCCACCAGGGAGGCCCTAGAATAGTTTTATGTTGACAGAAAAGTTGCAAAGGCAGTACACAAAGTTCACATATCTCTTCACAACCTACTTTCCCCTATTGTTAATATCATATTAGTAAAGCACATTTGCCAGGACTAATACATCAATATTGATATATTATTACAAACTTAATTCAAATATACTTCATTTTTACCTAATGTCTTTTTTATCCAGTTTTGAGATACAACTGACATATAACACAAGTTTAAGGTGTACAAGATAATAATCTGATACATGTAGATATTGTGAAATAATTACCATAATAAGGTTAGTTAACAAATCCAACACCTCACATAAATATGATTTTTATTTGTGTGGTGATAACATTTAAGATCAGTCTCTTAACAACTTTCCTGTACGTAATACAGTATTGATAACCATAATCACCCTGCTGTACATTAGATCCCAAGAACTTATTCATCTTATACTGGAAATTTGCTCCCTTTGAATAACTTTTATCCCCCCACCCATTTAAGACCCTAGCAACCACCATTCTACTATTTCTATGAGTTCAGTAGTTTTAGATCCATATATAAGTTAAAACATTAATAGCTGTCTTTAACTGACTTCACTTTGCCCTCAAGGTCCACCCATGTTGTCTCAAAAGACAGGATTTCTTTCTTTATATGGATGAATAATATTCCATTATATATGTGTATATGTGTATATATATTGATTTTTAATGATGTACACCTGAAACATACACATTGTTATAATGTAATGTTACTTCAATAAAAAATAAAATGGGAATAAAAATAGTAAAAAGCCCCTGTAACTCAAATATATACATATATATACACACATATATACAATATACACGTACATATACACATATAACATATATATATCACATATATATCATATACATCATACACATAGATTTCACATTTTCTTTATCCACTTGTTTTTTTCTAAGTTTTGATTCAGATGTCTCTTTAAGATAGTTATTTCATCTCCTTTGGATATATAATTAGAAATGGGATATAGTATTCTATTTTCAATTTTTTGAGGAAACTCCATACTGTTTTCATAGTGGATATACCTACTTTACATTCCCACCAGCCGTGATTTCTTCACAGCCTTGTTGTCTGTTGTCTTTTTGATAAGTCATCCTAACAGATTACAGTTTTAATTCACATTTCCCTAATGATTAGAGATATTGAGAACTTTTTATATACCTGTGGCCATTTATATGTTTTCTTTGGAAAAATATCAATGTAAATCCTCTCACCTTTTTTAAATTAGATTGCTTTTTATGATTGAGTTATGTGAGAGCCTTACATATTTGCATATTTACCACATATCCAATAGATACTTTACAAATATTTTCTCCAATTTCAGGTTATCTTTTCTTTTGATTTTCTTGAGTGTTCCTTTTGATTTAAAGAAACTTTTTTTTCATTTGATGTTTCCTACTTGCTGCTTTTGTGGTTTCTACTTTTGGTATCAGATCCAAAAAATCATTGACCAGACCAATGTCAATAATCTTTTCTCCTAGAGGTTCTTCTAGGAGCTTTTCAGTTTCAGATCTTACATTTAAGTCTCTAATCCATTTTGAGTTAATTTTTATGAGTGGTGTAAGATGAATTTTCCCAACACCATTTATTGAAAAGACTGTTCTTTATCTATTGATATTCTTCACTCATTTGTCAAGTATTAGTTGACCAAATATTTGAAGATTTAGTTTGAGGTTCTGACTATTTTTCTATGTGGCCTATGTGTCTATTTTTATGGCAGAGCCACACTGTTTTGATTACAATAGCTTTGTAATTTAGTTTGAAACCAGGAGGAATAATGCCTACAGCTTTGTTCTTTCTCAGGAATGCTTTAGATATTTGATCTTTTGTATTTTCATACAAATTTTAGGACTGAGTTTACAGTACAATGAAAAATGTTATTGGAATTTAATAGGAATTGCACTAAATCAATAGGTTTGGGTAGCATGGACAATATTAATTCTTCTGACCTATGAACACAGGATATCTTTCCACTTGTGTCCTCTT